GAGAATCTTTAATAAAGTGGCTTTTCCCACCAAAAGCCTTCCCAGAGAATTGCTTTGTTGGGCTGTGGGGTTGGCCAAAGAAGGGCTCAGGAGGCAGTGATGGGTGGGCTGACCATAAACCAGAGTGATGGCAGGCTGCTTGCCCAGTGCCTGGGACTCAAGGAGGCAGACATGCTTTCTACTCAGTAGAGGAGAATGAGGGATTAGGTCTTCACTAAAGATATGGAAAGCTAACACACCAGTAGGAAGGCTCTAGCCTGTCCCTGCCTGGTGGAGATAAAAAACCCAGTTCTATGTCCTTCATTATTTTGGCCCAGCAGCCTTCAATTCAGCAAAACAGAGGGTTCCTGGGGCATGCCTAGAGCAGCCCCTCTTGGAGTTTTATTTTTAAGGCCCTGAGCACATGGTTTTCTAGTTCAAGGATATCGAGGTACCCTGATCAGATGACTGGATACTTAAATAGGAAAGATCTCTTATCTTGGTGACTGGGGGCAAGGGAGAAGGTTCTGGAGTAGGGGTGGAGGGAAGTAGAGAGGAGTACGTGGAGGAAGAGTCAAGACTTCTGGGAAGACCCAGTAGAGGAAAACCCCAGGATAGGCAAGAGAGGCTAGAACTGACGAAACTCTCAGAAGATTTGTCTTCATCTGAGTCAGCCAGGATGCTGGAGGTTGTTTGTGTAACTATAATTGCTAAAATATATTGTTTCGGATGAGGGACAGGTCACAGCAGGAGAAGGGAAGTCTGTAGGGATAGCAACGTCAAAGACTCTGACCCCTGACCATCTGCCCCACCAAGCCCTAGCCTGTGCAGGAGGAGGGCCCTCAGGTAAGAGGGAGACCAGGCTAGATCCCCATTCCCTGACTTCCCTGTGGCTCTGGGGGACATAGGACCTTTCTTTCTGCTGTGACTGGCAACAAGCCTTTTGCCAGAGGACCTCAGAGAATGGACTTTCTCTGGAGAACCGTATGGCAGTGTCACCAGCTAGGCAGCCCACGTCTGTGGCCCATCCCACACTGCCTGCTTGTGACTCAGAATGAGTCTGTTAGGGCTGGGCTGCAGTGGCTCCAAGTTACAAAATCCCAGGATACCAAAGTTAAAGGCCCTTGAAAGACCATCCAGCCTAGTGGCCGTCACGCTGCATTCTTTAGAGTCCTGGGAGTCTCCTGAGAACTCAGTGGCCACTTTGTGGGTTAAGGAAGCCAGGTAGATAGAGGTCCAGGTTCCCCCGTCCCACACACACACACATCTTATTCCAAGCAGCTTTAGTTTTTCTCTATTGGGCTTCACATAACATTTCGTTTGACAAGAAAGTTTTTATTCAACACTGATTTTATTCAACATTTTCATTTGTTCATGTGGGAAAATGGAGGCCAAAAGAGGGGAAGGGACCATCTGAAGGTCATAAACCTCACTACCAGGCCAGGGTCCTGATTGGGAAGTGACCCAGCTAAGTCCTTGAGTGAGACAAGAGTGTGATGGAGAGTAGCCCTGGGACCAGGAGTGAGTTCAGCTCAGAAGAGGAGGATGAGGGCAATCTTGAGCTTCCCAGGCTTGAACATAGAGACCACTGACAGCCATAGGCTGACCTTGAACATCATGCATGCAGTCCTCCCAATACTGCACCCTAGAAACATGGCTGCCCTGGCCAGCAAATCCCTTGGTTCCCCACCTCTCAGGACCAATAGAGGCCAGTACAGTCTCCAAGAACTTGAGGAATGGGAAGGATATCTCCATGCACTCGGAGCTTGATTTGCCAAGATGACCAAACAAACCACAGAGATGGAGCAATCAGATGGCCCAGAGGTGACCCATATTGGAGCAACCCAAGGTCACTGGCCCACCACCCACTGTCCTACAGGCCTGTATCAGGCTGGAAAGCAATCCCACACCAGATAGCACTCAGGCCCATACTACCTACATGGTTACCACTCACAAAGAACCAATGCACTCTCTCTCACAAGGTTCCAGTTCAGAGCTCCCTCCTACCTCTTTCAGCAACTGCTGGAAGAAACCAAAATCCCAAGGCCTCTGCTGCTGAGTCCTATTGCCTCTCCCATGACCTCCTTGTGAGCACCAAAAAGAAGTGTCTCAGGGTTCCTTCCCAGCCTGAAACAGGATCAGGGGGTGCATTAGCTCCTGAGCCCTTTGATGCAGAACCTCAGACTCTCAGAACTGAGTCAAACCCTTCTTAGAAGCAGACAGGGGCAGATAATCCACATGTGGAAGAATGAATGGCTGCTGGCCCTAGAAGACAACATAGACCATCCCGTCACCTTGAGCTCCTCCAGTTTTGCCTTTCCAGACATCAGTTTTGGGCAGATGGGCTCTCTCCATGCTCCTTCACTGGCTGAATCTGATGAGTGTCTGAAAGCACTCATCAGATAATGAGTGAGGAGGTGTTGACAATGTCTCCCAGATTTTTTTCTGCACCCTTGGATTGCTGTTGGCTATTATCAGACCTTGTAGATGTCCAAGCCCCTCGTTCCTAATAGCCTGTGAGCTGTTTGAGAGCAAGAGACCAGGTCTTCATCAATTTGGGAACCCCTTCACCAAAGAGGGGTCCTGGAATGGAGGAAGTACCCAATAAATGCCCATGAGTGAATTCATCAGTATAACCCACCCACCGTGGGGGGAAGGGTAAATGAGTGGATTCTCTAATCCCCTTTGTCACTATTCATCCTCTACTTTTAGCCCTTTTTCAAATATCATAACCATTTGACAGTCAATTTATGACAACATCATTCACCTGGTAAGCTAACATGCCATAAGAGCTGTGGCTATTTGAGAAAATACTCATTTTTAAAAACTAGTTTTTTTAAATGAACTAAAAGAATCAGTCTTCATATTCCTCCTGTGTGAGAAGGAAGAAAGGGAAAGAGGGGAGCAGGCCCCACTCTGTGCTCCCAGGTCATTGGCCTGGCCCTTGGAGTGATGGTTGAAGGTCGAGCACAGACCAGATGCTGATGGGACGTCTCCCTCCCTATCATACTCACCCTCCCCTCCTGATCACAAGTACCCCATCATCCCTTGACACTCCCACCACCCTTGGCCCTGGTGGGTTGTGAGGGCCATGAGATCAGCCTTGGGTGAGATTGTGCTTAGGAATGGTGAATCTAGGCCTAGGGCTCAGGCTTAAAGCCTTCTCACCAGCCCCAGGCATCCACCACTTCTGGGTGAAGTGACTTAGTGATCAATTGAAACTGGGAGTTAGGGAGTTAGTTGGGAAACTGTTGGGGGCGGGGGTGATAGAGGGAGGGCGCGGGTCCGTGCAACTACCACAAGTTCAGAATTTCAGAGTGACTGCAGTGTGGAGGGAGGAGGGAGGAGTGGCTGGTGAGGCAGTGGGCTTTGCCAGCTAGTTGAAGGAGCTGAAACTTCAATCTTAGGGCAACGGGGTGTTTAAGCAGGAGAGTGAAGTTGGCCAGCTGTGTGTCGGCGAGGCTTGGGGCAGGGTCAGAAGTGGCTTCCTTCTGTCATATTCACGGCACTTCATGAAGGAGGGCAGCAGGCCAGGTCCTGAGGTCCTAGGATTCAGGACCCGCCACTCTAGTGTTCCTATCATTTCCACCCCCTAATGGCCAGCCCCTGAAGGCCTCAAGTAGCTTGAGACAGTTGTAACCTGAGCTCTGGAGTCAGACCACCTGGGTTAAAACCCTGGCTTCATCACACATTGGCTCTGTGGCTTTGGGCCATTACTTTACCTCTCTGCACCTTGTTTCACCTCTAAAATGGGGCTGTTAGGTGACTGTGAGCTGTCATTAGACAACATGTGTAAGACACCCGCATGTAGTAGATGCTCAGTACATGTTAATTGCCCCATTAGCTTCTGTGTCCCTGGAAATCCATATTCCTAACAGCTTTTTGCTGAGTCCCACTTTGAGTCCACCAGCAGCACTTCTTTGCTGGTGGATCCCCAAGTAGAGTGGACATTACCCTCCCTGCAGCAGCAGAGGCTACTTGGCTTGTGCATCCTGATGCTTATGAATGGTGGTGGCAGCTCTGGTAGAGGCCCTGAGCAGAGGCCTGACAGTACTCACTACTCCACTGACCCCAACCCCTTGTTTCCTGGACTGCATGGGGCATCAGGAAGTTGAGGCCAATACTTGGAGATGATGAAAAACTGTTAGATGAGAATTTGATACACACTTGAAGCTTCCCACCCGCCCATCTGATCATGGACTTAGGCCATGCTGGGAGGCATCAAGGGGACAAAAATCAGAGGGAGACTGACACTCACTTGTCTGTGGCCCTGGGCAGATCCCTCCCTTCTCTGGGCCTCATTTCCTCATCTGGAAAATGCTCAGAGGTTGATTCTCATGACCATTATGGACTCTTTCCACCTGAGCATTCCTGAAGTCTCTAATGGATAGAAAAGAATTGGAACCCCAAACCTCCACTTTGCCACCAAAACCAAGTGAACAACCCAAGACAGTCAAGATCCCTAGGAGAGGGCTTTACCCCTCCCAAGATGCCTCCAGGCCAAGAGAGGGGTATGTGATGAGGGCATCCATCAGACTTGGCCTGGCAAGGGTGCTGCTGGGTAGGGCACCCAGATCTGACAGTCAAACCCTACCTCTGGCTTCATCAGAGTCAAGAATGGCCTTAGAAGTGAGGTGACCATGGTCTGCATAAGGGGCTGGGAGCTCTAACATGGCCCATCAGTATGGCATGATTCATGGAGAAGTTTCCTGGTCAGGTGAACCCCCTAGAGGATGTTCTGGTCTTAGGACCTTATAAGCCCTGTGGCTTTGAAAGCTGCCTCCCTCCCCTGACCCAACAGGATCTGCAGCCCAAGGGGCCACCCTGCCCAACCAACCTGCAGAGGGCAACTTCTTCCTTAGGGCCTGACTTTCCCCCAGCGAGATGACAAGCACCTGAAGGTGGATCCTTGAGACCAGAGCAGCCAGGGCCCAGGTTTACCCCAGCCCAGCCACAGGGGACCAGAGGCCCAGACCAGAATCACGACACTGCCTGAAGGCAATAAAAACCCAAATTCATGCTTCATCTCAAAAGTCAGTTTTTTATTATCGGGGGCCAGGGCCCAGGGAGGGGAGGTCGTTGAGCTAAAGCATCATTGCTCTCTTTCCAGGAAATGTTGTGAGCTGCAGTGAAAGCTCGAGATGTTGCATTTTTTTCAACTCAAGCATGTGTTTTTCAAAAATATCATCCTTCCCCCCCACCCCACTAATTTTAGAATCAGACCAAAGCCAAGCTACTGTCCTCTGTTTCTGTTGGGAAAATACTATATTTATTCGAGATGCAGAAGTGTGTCTCTGCAAACCTCCGACTGCTTCAGGAAAACAAATCTGCTTTAGACTATACAGAAACCATGATACAAAATTTATTTCATGCTAGAATCGCTTTGCATAACATTGGGCATGCAGGTTTTTACTCTGAAGTACTAAATTGCATACGATGCCAGGTTGTGCCTTAGTAAAGGTGGAGGAGGGTGCTCCTCCTGTGGTCCTGATCTTTTGGTGCTCTACATCCTGGTTTTAATGGAACACTTGGAAAATCCATATGTGGTGATTATTTACTATGAACAATTTGTTATGAAAGTTGGTCACACTGGATCTACACCGATAAGATGAGAGAATCAACCTAGACTAGCTGCTGTCAGGGGTCTTGGGGAGATGTCCGCTGGGTCACAAGCATGCCAAATGGGGAAGAAGGCAGCCGTGCGAGTTTCCACAATTCTATTTGGAGCAAAGTTCTCAGTTTCCACGTGAGAGATGAACTATGAAGGTGAGGTCAATATGACCGATGACTGACCAACTGCCCTTTTTGGAAGCTTTCCTCTCGATCTTGTGTACAAAAAGGAAGCAATCCATTCCCCATCTCCGTCCCTCCTCCCCTCGCCCCTCACCCCCAGAAATGTACAGGTTTCTACCGAACGCTGTTACAGTTTGGCTCCAACAACGTGTGTCAAAGTCAAGAGCTTTGAAAGAAAATAGAGGGCTTTTGATGTTTTTCTTTTCGTTATTGTTGTTCAGGGTAATCATACAGTTGCAGGGGGTTGGTGGGTTTGGTTTGCTGGGTTTTCTGTTTAACTTCATGCAAGTCATGCTAAGGAGCCCCTCCACCCCCCCTCCCCAAATAAAATAAAATTTTTAAAAATGAAAAGAAGGAAAAGAAATCCTCTACGGTCAGTTACCATTTGGCCGTAGAAAAAGCTACGTCCGTCCTAGTACAATGCCTGGGCCACTCGGACTCGTCCGGCAAACCTGCATGGCGTGAATTTACTCTGTCCGAGGGTGAGGAGGGGCTGCAGATCCACCCAGATGCTTAATAGCCACCAGTGTCCTCGGCCAAGCCGCCTGGTCAAGTCACTCTCACAGCCTCTGTCGGCATATACTTAGCAATGACAGGGCTTTCTTTGCAAAGATCTGTATGTAAAGAATACAATTAACACTTGAGCTTCTCTTCTTGGCTCTCCCATCCCGCTTGGTACTTAGTTTTTAAGGAGGAGGAGGAAAGACAGAACAGCCGCATGCAGAGGCAGGCAGATTCTTCTCCAGCTGGCTTGGTTTGCCCATGCACTGAGCCAGCCTAGCACGCCTCTTTCTCTCTCTCCTGGGGGAATGGGATGAGTCCCTACTTCTGCTCTGCACATTGACTCACACACCTGCATGCCTTGTGGCTCAGAATTAGCCTGAGAAAAACAAGTCCTCGGCGGCTGTCATGGCTCCATGAGAGCGCGGGCCAAATGGATGTGGGTGGGAACACTTCACCCTTAGCGCCTCCCAAAGACTCTGGCACCTAAGCCTCGGTGGGACTGAGGAATGGGTATCTCCTATGGACCGTGCTTACCACTGGACTCCCAGCCACTGCAGGGAGGGGGTCTGCTCCTGTCCCACACTCCCTGGGCTTCCGGCAGCACAGTAAAGAGACTGTCCTGCCTGCTCTTTGGGGCCACACCAATTGGTCTAACATTCAAGATGACGGAGACAGAAAGCCCACGAGAGCTTCCTGGGCAGGCACGGACACCGGGAACCATCTACCTGCTTTTCCCCTCACTCCTTGGGTATTCTGCTTCTGGGGATTCTAGCACCTCCAACTGGGAAAAAGCCAGTCGCAAAGGGGAACATCAGGCCCATCCATGGCCGGTGCCAAGGATGGGACCCTCCTGAAGGCTGGCAGCCCTCCGCCATGCAGCACCATGCAGGGAGTTGCATACCGTGCCAGGGCCCAAAGGACCGCTGGGCAGGGCAGAGAAGCAGAGACCAGCCTAGACCAGGTGGGCACAACTAAGCACCAGTGACCAGAACCACGTTCCCTCATCTCTGTGCGGGCTGCCTCTGCTTTTCTCGGTTTGCCTTTGCTTTTGCATTCTGTTTTCTCCTGCATATGGTTTAATCACTTCAAATACTGGAGCAGTTGTGAGTGACCATAGGCTGCACCAACTGTTGATTTCAAAAACCCAACTCCTTTTCTGACCCAGCCTGCTCACCCCGGTCAGCATGCATCTGTGTGCACGTATGAGGCGCTCCAAGACATGCACGAGCTGCCCAGCTAGTCTGCTGCACCAAGAAAGGCGTCCTCTGCCTTCTAGGTCCGGGCCAGTACCTGGAGCCTTGAGCTCAGGCGCCCTGGGCCCCCACCCCAAGCCTCTCCCCAGCCCGTGCTGAAGCTCTAGGAGAAGACTTTCTCTCCAGTGGGGTCAGCCTAGCGTTCTGACTACAAGGAGACCTGGAACAGAGGCCACCAGTGGCCTCAGCCTTCACCAACCACAAGAGGGTGCTGACCACACCCAGGGCAGAAGCTCATGGGTGCTGGGGATGGAAGGCGCTGCACCGTCCTGCTCAACCACCTTCTCTTGGCAAGTTCTTGATCTGCCACTGGCAATATTCTGACTACAAGGACAATGGCCTTACCCCCAAGCCCTGAAGACATCTCTCTCTTCTTGCCTCTCCTCCCTCTAGCCTGTGGGTTGATTATCTTTCAAGGATACCTCTTCCATGCCAAGAACATGGATCTTGGGTAGCTAAGTTCACAGGGTCCTGGCCCACTCGACTGCCCTCCTCAATCAGGGGAGAGGAGAGATCACTTTGCCTTTGGGACCTGACCTGCCATCTGCCAGAGCAACCTAGGGGAGTCAAGGCTCCTCCTGCATTCCTGGATACCCCCTGCCTTGGGGTCATGGCCTAAAGTCAACCTGTCCAGTCACTTCTCAACTCCCAGCTCAATACCAACCCACAGCTGCCAGGGCCTCAGGTTCTCTCTGCGAGCCTGACATCTCACTTGGGGGAAAGGACCTCAGCCCTCCAGGGGCCGACCCTGGCAGACTCCCTCCATCTTTGCCCCCTTCGGTGTGCCTGCCTGCCCCTCAGCGCCCTTGCCCGCCGCCCTGCCCACCCGTCTGCAGGAGCGCGAGGCGGCCCGGACGATGCACAGTGCTCCAGCTTCCTCTACATACCCTTTCTCATTCCTCCACCAGGTGGGCACGCGTACTCCCCGGTTGATAAGAGGAAGCAGGGTCCGTATCTCTCGCGGGTGCCCGAGCGCGTAAAGGGCAGGCCCTCATCGGGAGTGAGGGCCTGGTCTATGTGGGGGCAGTCTTCGTTCGCCAGCGCGGCCTTCGCCACCTCCCCATTCAGTTTGGAATCTTCAAACATATAAGCAGAAGCTATTGAGACACTGAAAACTGTTTAGTGGGGGGCAGGGGGGGACAGGCCAGAAGCAGGGTATTGGCAGAGGGCAGCTCGAGTGTCCCTGAGGACGGAAAAGCGGGCAGGCTGTGGAGGGAGGAAGGCACAAGGCAGGGGGCTTGGGGGAGTTCAGCTCATTCAGGCAGCCTTCAGGCTGCCCACAGTGCTGGGAGTGGGGACTCCTGGGTTTGCTCAAAGTTTGCAAAAAGATGAGTTGGTGATGGGCCCAGTAGGTGTGGTGCTGGGGGTCGGCCCCGAGCCCCAGGCAGGGCCGATGAAACAGGATGGTGTGGATGCAGTCATGGGGGAGAGCCAGACACACAGCTCAGGGAGAAGACAGACACTGACACGCAGAAACACTCCAGTCCAGAGAGGGGCCTTTCCGGACCCCTCTGCTGCTGACCAGAGCCCGGCTGCCTCCCGTCCGCAGCCAGCCAGTTGCTTGGGCTTCCCTAGCCCCGTCCAGACCACCTCATCTACTCTACCCCATCTCCCATTTGGATCTCATCTGATCACCTGGTTCACACCGCCCCCACTCCCCATCTAATAACTCAGCCTGCGCCCGCCCCGCCCAACCCCGTACAGACCCAAGCAGGTCACTCTGTATGCCCTGTTCCCCGTACAGATTAATCCTGGTCACACAGTCTACTCTGCTCCCACACGGACCTGGTCCAGTCACTGTATGCCCTGACCCCCATACAGACCAGTCCTGGTCACACAGTTTCCTCTCTGCCCATGCAAACCCAATTTGACCACTCCATCTGCTCCATCCCCCACACGGACGGACCCAAGCTGATCACTCGGTCTGCTCTGGTCCCCACACATATCAAGCCAGTGTCTTCCACTCCATGCTGCCCCCAGCAGGCCTGGTCAGCTTGCACAGGCACCACAAGGATGTATGCATGAGGCTGTGACAGCAGGACATGGATTTGGGAGGGGCTCCCATTCCTCTGTCCCCTCTGGTCAGTGTCCCCGGCAAAGCAAGGCAGATGAAGGTGTAGAAGACAACAGCGGCTGATGGACTTGGGTGGGGGAAATTGGAGTTCTGACCTCTGTGGCAGCCTGAGAAGAAGCCTGGGAGGAGCTCTGGGAGCACGTTTGGTGGGGGGCAAAATGTGGCCAGAGCAAGGAGCCCCGTCTCTCCAAGATCTTGGAGCAGAGCCGTGGAAGCCTCTAGAGCTGACAGAGGTAACCCTAACTAGTCTTTGCCCCCATCCCATCACTCTTGAGGACCGAACCTGCCCCAAACTCTCTGCCCTCAAAGCAGAATCTTCCTGGCCAGGGTGGAGCCAACTCCAATACTTCATCTAGGGTGAGAGCCTCAAGCACAAGCCCTTTTGTGGAAGAGGGAAACAAACTTGGGCATGACCACGTTAGGGGAGGCTCTCTGAAAGAGTAGACAGGGCGAAAAGGCTGGAGACAATGTCCACCCGATTGAACACTCTCCCGTGATCCTGTTCACATCATGTAACTACACGAAGAAGTGATCCTTCCCCACGTGCACACACTGGGCGTGCACGTGGGTGGGATCACCACCCGTGTACACATCATGTCACTACAAAGAGGCAGTCAGTCAAAAGAGAAATGGACCAATCAGGTTTATTCGTAAAGCAAATCCAAAAAAATCCCATCATAATTTTGGAACTTAAAAAAAAGTCTTTCGTACAAGATGGCAAAGCATTTCACGTACAGTGCGTTTCTTGACAAATCCCAGGGGCTTCACTTCCCAATTTACTCTGAACCAAAAAGGCCAGTTGCCAAGGTAACTCTGACACCATGTGACTGGGGCCGGGGCATCTCTGGGGTCTGGGGGCATGTCTGCAGGCACACACATGTGCTCACAGACACGCTGGTCCTGCCTCCCACTCTGGCTGGCCCCGTCTTCCATCCAAGGGTCTCCGGGCTGAGGGAGGAGGGTGCTGGGAGAGGGGAGGGAAACATTATGGAGAGGATGCGGATGACGATGTGGGGGTTGAGGCCCATAGCACCCTGCATGAATTTTCCTCAAGGGGAGAACTGTGGGTCCTCCAGGCAGCGTCTCCTTCTGGGAGGGGAGTGAGGACTCTCGGAGTCTCTGTTGGCCATCCTTTGCCAGGGGAGGTGTCCACAGCCTGCAGTTCTTGCCTGGGGGGGATGGGTCAGAGTGGGGGGGGTGCCTTCTCTCTGCCTCTGCGTCTGCCTCTGCGGAGATAGTGCCACCTGAGACCCTTCTCTGGCTCTGAATGCTGGGCCCCCGCCCACTGGCTCTGCCCACAAGCCCCCAGGCCCTGGGGGCTCCCAGCTCCCACAATCTCTAAAGGGCCCAAAGTTGGGGATGGTTTTGGGCAGGGGACAAGCAGCATCCATCAGGGATCCCTAGAGGGATGACAGCCTGGCACCTTTCCCTCCTGGGGGATTCCTGGGACACCCCTAGGGCGTGCTCCTTTTCTCAACCCTAACCTTTGAGGAGAGGCTAATGATTGGGTGGGGAAGTTTAAGTGTTGCTCTGTGAATGGGCCCAGTCCCACTGGCTGTTAGTCTATCTGTGGTTTAAGATGCTTTCAGAAACTGGGGCATTCTCCCTCCCCCACTCCAGAGGGGTAGCTGGAAGAAAGAGAAACCAAGGAGGGGCCAACTGTATAAATTTGGGAAACCCGTGAAGAGGGCCAAAGGTGTAAGCCCCCACCCCTGCCCCGTCCTTTGGATGAGATAGTGGCTAGGAGCCTCCGTTCCCACCTGCTTTCTAGAGGCTGGGGGCCCTGCCTCCCCCAGCCCAGGGCCCCCAGGCCCCCACTAGACCCACAGGCCTGCAGTGATGAAATGGCAGCATGGAGAGCGTCTCAGAGATGGTTTCCAGGCTTGAAATGGGCTGAGATGAGCATCCGCGAGAGGGTCATTTTTTTTTAAACTTTGGAGCAAGGAGAACCCGAGGCTGGGCCCTCAGTCAGCAAAGCTGGCTTTTCTGCCATGGTCTCCAGGCACCGCCAAAGTACTTACTGTTCACACCAGCTGCGGGCACCAGAGGGGCGCACGCGGGGCTGGGGTGGGGTGGGGGTTGCTGGGCGCTTCCTTGGGTTTAGCCCCAAGGGATCTGCCCAGCTGGGGACTCAGGAAAAAAGTCCCAGGCTAAATGGGGACAGTCTGTGAGACACGAGCAGGGAACAATCACGAGAACTGGCACAAGTCATGCAACAAAACGAGGAGAGAGAGAGAGAAACATTAGTGGAGAGAGAGAGAAAGAGAGAAAATGTGAACAACACGGAAAAGAACACCCATGCCTGGCCCACAGTGTCACTTCATTTCTCCGCTACTCCCCCCACAGCCCACCTGAGGACAACAAGGACCCCATTCAGGGCCCATGCTGCTGACCCTGCAGCTGGGTCCCTGCAGAAACTCTTTGAGCCCCACCCGCTGCCTAGTCAGCTCTGCCCAGCACCCTCCCCGCCCATGGATAGCACCACTCACTGGGCAGCCACTGCAGCCCAGCAGGGGAAGTAGAGGGGCTGGGGATAGGGGACTTTAGACCCCTTGGCCAAAGATAACCCAGAGGCTGCAGGGTTAGCTCCCAGGGAACCCAGGCAGGGGCTTCTCTGGGACCTCGCGGCTGTTCTAGGTGCCATGGGCAGGAAGGGAGCCCAGCCACCACCCCTCCCTCCTGGCCACCCCCTGCTCACCAACGTGGGACCCTGCAGCCCTGGACGCGGCACCACAAAGGACTGACCCACATCACAGGAGCAGAGATGGACAAGACACATGCGAATGGGCATGGCAGGACGGAGGAGGCACTGTGGGCTCTCCAGAGCGGGCGGTCTGGGCGTCCAAATGCAGATGCAGGAGGGAGCCCCTTTCTGGGAGAGAAGCAGCTTCTCCTAGGCCCCTCAGCCCCAGGCAATCCCTGGCTGTGCCAGGGTGCCCTCCTAGCACCCCCCAAGAGGTCTTACAACCAGGTGAGAACTGGATTCTTGATACCCCTCCCAGGACAAGACCTCAGACACTGAGGCCATGCCAGCCACAGCACAGAGGAGGACACCAGATTGTCCCTGGGACAGACACACAGACTGACGCTTCAGGCGAGACCAAGAGGTGGAGGTGAGGGGCAGGTGCTGCTGGCACCGCTGGGGGCTGGCCTGGGGGGGCGGGAGGGATGCCCTCAGAACCCAGCATGCCACACACAGCCCCTAACTCTGGTTTTAAAAGTGGAATTGGAGAACCTCAGGTTTTGGCGAGGCCACTAGACTGCCTTGGGGGTACAGTGAGGCTAGAAAGGTCTTGGGGGGCTGCATCTCATCTCTCACAATTCCCGTGGGGCCACATTTACCCTCCTTGCCCCTGGCCTCCCCTTCACTCTCCCACAAACTCACCCCAACCCTATGCCCATCTAGGTGCATGGCTGCAAGTAGGAAAAAAGGCGAATGGGAAGAACTCCGGGGTGCAGAGGTGGGGACGACGCCCCTAAAGACCACAGCTCCTCTTGGTGGTGGATAGCCGAGGTCTCACATGCCAGCTTGTGGAGGGAGAAGTATTCTGGTGAGGGATGAGGCTGGAGCCTCGGGGGTCAGGATATCAGGACAGCACCAACACCACTGGGAAGTGAGTGCTTGGGAACGGCTTGGGAGCACAGCTGGGATGCTGGGGAGGCAGGAGGGATTCAGGCATCTAAGCTCCAGTGGGCAAGCTTGGGAGGGCCCCAAATACTTCCTCAGTCACAGAGACTGTACAAGCCAGAACTGTCTGGGCCCCTGAAACCTGAGACCAGGGCAAGGTGGCTCCCAAAAGCAGGGCTGGGGAGAGACTGTGGAGCCCAGGGGGAATCCCACAGGAGTGCATGGGTTTTACAGGTTTTGTGTCCTGGGATTAGCTGGTGTGCATGTCTGAACAAACACATCTGCACTCCCTGGGGGGCAGGGGGACTCCGCACAGGATAATACTGTCATTGTCCAAGAGTACAGAGGAATCTGGGCCTGCCTGGAGAGCAGTGGGGATTCTTGACTGGCTGGCCTGGGGCACCCGTGCTTGGGGCAAAAATCCTGAAAGATCCAGTGTTGGGGAGGATGCAAAGGAAGGACCAGGTAGTGCCACAGTGATGCCACTCAGGCTGAGCTCTTCTTGCTAGGCCCACATGGAAGCTGGGGCCTGGGCCAGCCCACACCTTCCCCCTAGAGGCCCAGAGCACTGTTGGCAGCTCCTGAAATCAAGTAACTAGCTAATCCAAAGCAGAGAGCTCGGAGCTGTTTCAGCCTCAGAGACCCCTGCCCACCCCTGGCCATGTTCCTCTCAGGCACCTACAGAAATCCCAGGAAGGGGAGGGTATGAGGCAGGGTGAAAGGGCCGGGAAGCCCCCATGGGCAAAGAAATGGGCCTTGGGCGTAGTGCTCGGGCCAGCATAGCTGTGGGATAAAGCCAAGAGAGGATCGGGATGGGGTGGTGGGTCAGAGAGCGTGATAGCAGGGAAGAAAATCATTCGTCCACTGGGAGAGGCCACCCAAACCAGGGGGAAACTTCCCCACCCGGGCCTGAGCTAGCCACGCAGCCTCCTGCCAGACCTGGGCATGGGGAGGTCCTTCATAGACTAAATGCCACCTAACTGTCACGTCAACCTCCCGCTCACCCGGCACTCCTTCTTACTCAGTGCTGTCATTCTTCTCTGGGTCATCTGTTCCTTTGAAATCCCTGTGTCCACAGAATAAGTCGATGGTATTCCATGGGTAGAGGTAGACTATGGGCTTTATATCTTCGGACCAGAGCCCCATGATCAACTTTATGTGCTATGTGCAGGTTCTCATAAAACTGAGATAGTCCCATAACGAACCACTAGCCATGGAATATTAGAATATATCCCACGGTGACTAGTATTGTTTCATGCCCCCCTCCCCCCTCCCGGCCCCCAGTGAATTCTCGGGAAAGTGGTTGTACGCTGGTTGGGATGTCTATATTGCTGCTGCAGTCCCTACTGCTGGAAACGGGGAGAACCCTCGGTGGGAGGCTGTTGCTGGTCTGTAGCGCTTTCATCTAAGCTGCCCAGGGTGGCGGCCCCCTCTAGTCCTTTGCTCGGCAGCTGCTTCCATCAGGTCACCGGAAACTCCCACTCGACCATCAACCCAAACAGACAACGTGAAAGCTAGAGTCACTCCAACAGGTTCCTAAAGATAAAGGCTAAACTCTAGAGTGGTGGTAGAAGATGAGTTGGTTCGGCATGCTATGGGGTAAGTAAGCTTGTCACGGAGGGCTACAGGTGTCTCCTGGGAAGGATCTCGAGCTGGGCAGCCCGAATCAGGGCAGGAATTCTACTCAGCTATGGAGACAGGCTCTGCTGGGGGTGAGAACCCTTGCTCCTGCCTTTGCAAGGGACCCTCCTGCCCAGATCCCATGCACCATCTCTGCCGTCTACACAGCCTGAAGGGAGCTGTGGTAAGGACCAGATCAAAGGCTGTCTGGCATTTCCAAATCACACCCGCCCCCGCCCTGTCCCAACACCGGGTCAGTGGCCTGAGTCAGAGCCTCACGCGGGACTCCTGCCCCGCCGAGCAGAGCCCCCCGGCTCCTGCTAAGTTAGTCCTCAGCAACCTGGCGGGCCGCGTTGTCTCTTCAGAACATCAGGAGACCAACCGCGTCAACCTCCTTACCCAGGGGCACCAGTGAGGTTCCTCTAGCAGGCTCTCGCCTTCTGAATGTGGCCGCCCAGCATCTCCCTGGGCCCTCAGGCTCCACACCTCGAGACTGAGTGCGGGGTCCGGGGTCACCCACGGAACTAAGGAAGCAGTCTGACTGGATCTGGAATCATCGCTACAAGGGGCGGAGGTGAAAGGTCAGATCGACATGCCTCTAAGAGGTTTCCTACCTGCTCTGTTAATTTCTAAAATTTCTTCCTGGGCCAGCGGACATGTGTCACTCTGAGTACTGTGGTGTGGAGAGTTTACGACAGATTTACAATAATTGGGAGATCCCAGCTGCGGTGGCCGCGGAATATGCTTCTTTTTTTTCTTTGGTAGTTTCTGCTTAGCCATGGCTAAGGAGTAATACATCCCGAAATTGTTCACGATGACGGGCACGGGCATGGCGATGGTGAGCACGCCCGCCAGCGCGCAGAGGGCCCCCACCAGCATGCCGGACCACGTCTGCGGGTACATGTCTCCGTAGCCCAGGGTCGTCATGGTGACCACGGCCCACCAGAAGCCGATGGGGATGTTCTTAAAGTGCGTGTGCTCACTGGCGCTGGGGTCGTTGGGCTGTGCCCCTATCCTTTCGGCGTAGTAGATCATGGTGGCGAAGATCAGCACGCCCAGGGCCAGGAAGATGATGAGCAGCAGGAACTCGTTGGTGCTGGCGCGGAGCGTGTGGCCCAGGACCCGCAGGCCCACAAAGTGGCGGGTCAGCTTAAAGATACGCAGGATGCGCACGAAGCGGACGACGCGCAGGAAGCCCAGCACGTCCTTGGCAGCCTTGGAGGACAGGCCGCTCAGCCCCACCTCCAGGTAGAAGGGCAGGATGGCTACAAAGTCAATGATGTTGAGCGAGTTCTTGATGAACTCTACCTTGTTGGGGCAGAAGACAACACGCATGAGGAACTCGAAGGTGAACCAGACCACACAGACGCCCTCGATGTAGGTGAGGAAGGCCTCCGTCTCCGCCTCCCGGTAGTAGCGCACTTGCGTGCCATTGCTAACGTTCTCGATCTCTGTCTTGTTCACGATGGGGTTGAAGCGCTCGTGGGTCTCCAGGCAGAAGGTGGTGATGGAGACCAGGATGAAGAAGAGGGAAGCGAAGGCCACATACTGTGGGGATAAAGACACAGTGTCAGGGGGAGGCCCACCCAGAGTGGAGAAGCCTGGGTTGCCTCTGTCCAGTCCCAGGGCCAGGCTGGGAGAGATGCCTGCACTAGGACCCCTGCATCACAACGTGCCACATTTCTCTCCTCAGGGCACGGGGGACCTGCACGACCGCCAGGGCAGGCTCTAAAACCCTCCTACTCTGTCTTCCATGCTCTCTTCTTCCCCCTATTGATGCTCTCTTCTTTCCCTATTGCCAGCTAAATGTGGAAGCCCCAAGAACTAGTGTAACTACAGAGGGAAGGAGCTTGGGTCCCTGAAAAGAAAGACATCCACCAAATACCCACATTGAACTGTTACCTGAGTGGGAAATAAACTTCCATTGTGTTCAGCCACTGTGATTTGGAACTGATTGGTTAAGGCATTTAGCTACACCCTGCCCAATAAAAGTGACCCAGCCTGCTGGGGTTGAAGTTTGCAAAGAAATAAGAGGGGATAGCTAGAGTGGAATGAAGCCCCTCAGAGGCCAGATCTCCATTTGTTCTCCCAACTCCAGGCTCTTTGCTGCTTTTTCATGAGTCTGTACCTCCCTCATGTGGTCTCTTTCAGGTTCTATCCTGCCTAGAACTGAAAAAAATGTATGTCTTCCCCATGGTCTTAGACAGCTTTTTAAAATGTACCCCCTCTCTCTGTCTTCCTAGGAACTTGCACCACAACATGGTAATGAATTCCCTGTCCTTGGAGATACTCAAATAGAGGCTGAAAGATCTTTTATGAAAGCGACTGTTTGAGGGTTCAGGCATCAGGAGAATTGCACCAGGGATCCCCAAAGGCACCATAACCCATAGGCTCTACTTGACTCCTTTCCAGCCCTAGGGTAAGGGTGTGAGTGGGAGGCAGGAAGAGGCTGCTGGAGGCCTGGGGCTTCCCAAACATGTGTGGGCTCCTACTCTCTCAGACAGCACCAGTGAAAAGGAATGCCTGTCCAGAACCACCTGCACTGGCCCTGGGCCCCCTGCAAAGAGGTTCGGGAGACCCTTTGGTTTGGTTTGGAGGTCTCATCTACTGACCCCCTGGGCTTCTCTAGCCTGCAGCAGGCATGGGTACCGAGGAGACAGAATCGAGCAGCTTTCTGAGTTTCAAATCCTCCTGCTCAGACTGGATCCTGGGGCAAGGTCTCTTCTCACAGTCTCCTACCAGGCCCACCGGGACTCTAACATACTGTCCCCTCCCTTGGCCCTGCCCTGGGCGGATGGGCCCCTGCCAGTCAGCCCTCAGGGGCCTAGATAGTCACTCCCGCCTGCATGTCCTCACTGCACCCCACTCCTCTGGGTTCCCCTTCTCCCTACCTAGCCATGGCCAAAGCAGTGCCATCTCCAGGAGGCAGCTCTGGGCTACAGTCTGTAAGGGGTGACACCTTTGTTCTCTGACCTGCCCTCATAGATCACTTGGAGGAGGGCCGAGGTTGCACCCTGTGTCAGCAGCAGGAGGCAGCTATGCTGCCTCTAGGGGCCTCCTTGTTTGCAGTGATGCCCCTCCCCGACCCAGGGGGGTGCCCTGGAAGTCCCAGAACAGTCTTGTTTGGATTAACCATGGTCACAGGGCCTGACACTCAACCTGGCAGGAATCTGGGAACCAAGAAGTATGTGGACCTTCCAAACCACATTCTGTGTTGGGGGAAGTTGGGAGCAAAGGGAAACGACAAAGCTGGCATCGCAGAATGACGGAGTGAGAGCAGTCTGTAGACACTACGTGCTACGAATGGGGAGCTGAGGCCCAGAAACAGGAAGAGATCTGCCTAAGCTATGCCAAGGGGACACTATTAGTCCTGTTGGTTCTAGAGCATTGTGTAATTTTCAGAAAACTGTCTCCTGAGCCACTATCAAGTGTGGTCCATATGCATCCTTCCTTCCATCCATCTGTCCCTCCTTTCTGTTTTTAAATTTTAATCAATTATTTATTTATTTATTTATATTTTGTAGAGATAGGGTCTCCCTATGTTGTCCAGGCTGGTTTTGAACTCCTGGCTTCGGGTGAGCCTCCTGCCTTGACTGCCCCAAGTTGGGATTACAGGCGAGAGCCACCCCACCTGGCCTATCCCTTCTTTCTTTCACCAGCGCATCATCCTCCCTTCCTCCTTTCCTCTCTCCTTCCCTGCCATCCATTCATCCTTTCTTAAATCCATTCATGCACTCATCCATCCACTCATCCTCCCTCCCTTCTTTTCTCTCTCCCTCCCTCCCTTCTTTCCTTCTATACATCCATTCATTCTTTTTCCCTTCCCTCCTTTTTTGTTTTTCTTTCTCTCCCTTCCTCTTTCCTGTGTCCCTCCTTCCCTCCCCCCCTTCCATCCATCCATGCACCCATCCATCCATTCCTCACAAGGCACCAAGTTCTGCCTGGCACAGAGTTGAATAAGGCCTCAATCCAGCCTCAGGGAGCTCCCTACCCTAGCTCAGGTGAAGGATACGTTCAGAGACAAGTACAATGCAGTGGACTGAAAAGCTGAATCCTCAGCCTTATGAACTAGAGGAGGCTGGAAAAAGGTCAGAGTAATTTGTGTGCACTTGAGAGAGGCAGGGTAGAGGTTTAAAGCCATGACTTCCAGATCCAGAAAGACCAGACCTGGGCACCACAGAGGTAGACCAGGAAAGCAACGTGGAAGCAACAGGAAGAGGCCACCACTCTGGCTGCAAGTTTAATGAGCTCCAGAGCTCTCTCCTTCACCAGAGTCGCCAAGGCTCTTGGAGCTAAAACACACACCCTGGTCTGCTGGGTATCTGGCTTCAGATTCCCCCGAGAAGGCCCCATCCTGGAGGCTGGTGTTCACAGCCCAGAGACTCCCTGAGGGCAGGGCAGGCCCCCCCAGCTGCACCCCCTGTCCTGGCCTTTGTATGGGAGGAGAGGAACAAGCACACTGTGGGTGACCGAACGGTGCCAAGAGGCAGGGCCCATTGCACCTGGGCTCTCAATCCTGGCTGGAGGCTGGAGGCACCTCCCCTCCTCACTGCCCCATCAGCCAGGTCATCCCCTTCCCAAACCGCCCCCTGACATCCATTCTCCACTGTACCCCCTGTTCATATGGGACGCTCTCCGGGCAGGGTCACTGCCATCAAAGCATGTTTTAGACTTCAGTCCTGGCTACCAGAGGGTGCTGTCAACTGGAATCCCAGCTCTGCCCATGCAGCCCACAAAGAAAGCCCAAATTTCCCAGCCTGGCACATGAAGCTCTCCATGCCCTGGCCTCATTTAATCTCCCAGGGTCCTCTCCCTGCATGCACCCAACATTCTTGCCATGTGCACATCTCTGCCATTTCTGACCATAGAGTGTCTTCCCACCTCCGTGGTTTTGTACCTGCTGTTCCTTCTGCTGGAGAGTGCTCCCGTCAGTCTCTGTCTGGAAATATCCCATTCATCCTTTAGGGCCCTGCTAAGTGGACCTTCCCCTGAGGTGAGGCTCCCCTTCACAGCCGTGGCCCACAGGAGGCAGCAACAGAAGGGAATCCCCAGGAGTCTCTAAATGCACCCTAGGGAGGCAGCAAGCCCATCTCCAACTCCGGCTCTTTAGTGCCTGGGGAGGCTCACGGGAAGAGCCCAGAGAGGGCACTGATGTCCCAGGAGCCTGGTAACTCCCAGGCGCCCCCACGGGCCTCAGAGCTCTCATCTCAAGTGCTTCTCTCAGTTCAGATCCCTATCGGAAAACTCAGGCCTTTTAAGATTAGGGTAAAAAGTCTTTGTTTCTCAGGGATCATTGGACAGCCTGTCTAGATTCTTTCCTCTCTGGGCCCCAGTGCCCAAGGAGTGGAGGATGGGGAGCAGGCAGCAAAAGCCAGGTCCAGGTGCAAAGACCCCTTCCCCAGAGAGAGTCAGTAGAGGTGGAGGCCAGGCCTCTCGCCCTGCTCAGGCTCCCTGGGCGCCTGCCTTCCTGTCCTCTCCTACTGTGAGGCCTGATCTTCTCTGTTACAGGCAGAGCCCCAGCAACATCAAATCCCAAGGGACCGCTAGAGGGTTGCGGGGGAAGATGCCCCAGCCTGCTCAGACCCCAGTGTCCTCCTAAGTCTCGACCAGTAGGAGGTCAGCCACAGGCACAGCCGGAGCAAGAGCAACGAAGCCCAAGGTCCCTTGTGTCCATTCTCCAGGGCTGGCTGTGCATAGGAAGGAGAGAGGAAAAAGCTCCCAAAGTTTGAGGACCTACTATGCGCCTTCAGTCCTCACACCATCTTGGTGAGACAGGGTCATATCCCCATTGTGTCAAGGAGGAAATGCAGGTACAGGGAGGTTCGGGGACTAAGCCAAGGTTTTAAAGCTCGTGATGAGGCTGAGACTTGGACCCAGGTGTTTTTCTTTTGTTTTTGTTTTTGAGATGGAGTCTTGCTCTGTCACCCAGGCTGGAGTGCAATGGTGCAATCTCAGCTCACTGCAACCTCTGCCTCCTGGGTTCAAGTGATTCTCCACCTCAGCCTCCTGAGTAGATGGGACTACAGGTGCCCGCCACCACGCCTGGCTAATTTTTTGTGTGTTTTTTAGTAGAGATGGGGTTTCATCATGTTGGCCAGGCTGGTCTCGAACCCCTGATCTCAGGTGATTCACCCGACTAGGCCTCCCAAGTGTATTGAGCTCTAGAACCTAAGCTCTTGCCTCCAGAGTCGCCAAAGCTCCTGGAGCTAAAATTGCAGCCCCACCCACTGGAGAGCTGCCCCTGATTGTGTCTAAATGGCTCTGTCTAGGAGCTTAACAGGCACAGCCCAGAATCCCTAAGAGCAGGTTGTGCCTATCCCCAGTGATAGAGCAGGGTTACCTGGATCCAAAGACTGGCCTCATTGCCCAGAATCTGCTAGCAACTGGGGCAAGAGCAGCCCCTTGGGTGGGGACACTGCCCCTATCCAGCAAGGTATAATGTCAACAGCAGAGGGACCCTCTGCCTAGTAAGCCTCAGAAAAGCCTACGTGGCAACCCTGGGCTGTCATCCCCGGGGCTGTAGGGTCACAGGCAAGAGTAGGGGGCTG